CGTGTAAAGATGTTCGAATGGGAGGGAGTAGAAATAGAATTACTACAGATTATATATATATATATATATATATATATATATATATATATATATATATATATATATATATATAATCTGTAGTAATTCTATTTCTACTCCCTCCCATTCGAACATCTTTACACGGCACATTTCCTCCTAAGCGAAACCGCGACGTGTGGTGTTCCTCCCTAGTGCTCATCGGTCAATTACAAGTGATTTGAATATTCGAACTCGCCGCCGCGCGATCCAGAACGAGGTTCCCCAGAGTCGGCAGCATCTAAAGGTCCAGGAGGTGCCGATCCACGTAAGCCACGAGAGCGCCATCCAGGGATACAGAGAGCAACCGCACGGTAGACGACCACTGGTAAGTCATTATCTACTAGACTTAGTCTTATTTCTATACGCGCGAAACTACGATTAACACCTGCGACTGTCCGACTCACCGTAAGGTTATACTACGATGGTTATACTACGCGTCTTGCGCGAAATCCATCGCTATTGCCCTTGATCGCACGGATCCCCGGGTAGATCACGCGATTCGTTTAGCCCGAAAAATTGTGATCTGATCCCGTGCTAGGGTTCGAGCGCTATTCTTCACGGCAACGTGGCCGCAATCCGCCAGGACGTAACAATAGTGATAGAATTTCTATCGTTAGTTTCCTAATATAATACAAATAGAACCCGATTCTTATAGATCCAGATAAAATATGATAGGATGCTGACGCTTGCGAACGATAGAGCTTACAGAAAACAATACAAATTGATAGAAATTCTATCGTTCTCAATCGTTCTCTAACAACTTTCTTTACCAGGACAGCCTTTATGCTCTATGCACAATGCCAGGCAACAGGCAATTTCGTTATCATTATTTTTATGGGAGTAAAGCCTTATATATATATACACAATGCCAGGCAACAGGCAATAGGAACAGGGAATAGAAATTCGGATTGGTCAATTATTTCTATTCTCTGTTCCTATTGGCTAATGCTTATTTCTATTGCCTGTGCCTGGCATTGTGCATACATATAAGGCTTTACTCCCATAAAAATAATGATAACGAAATAATTCTAAAAGCATTTTATAGATCAAAGTCTCTAGTTTTTATATGTTTATCTATATAAGGTTTAATTATTTTTTACAACATTGCATGAATGTAAATCAAGATTCGTCAAATATTGAAACTTTCGACGAAGTCTGTTGAGTTGCGTCACGTAAACGAAAAGTCACATACTAATGCTGTTGATAGTACTTGAAACGGTGAATCTTTCTCTTTAATTTACATACCTGCGCATTGTAGCGAGATTATTTTTCGCGGAGCTATTTAATGTTGAAGTGAAAACGGCACTTTAAATTTGATCGTTCACAGTAAACGGAGAAATTGATGTACGATATTCACTAAGCAATGAATAAAGAGTTTAAAGTCTTCTCTTCAATATATATTTTATTATCACATTTCAGATAAAAATGAATTTTCATTGTAAAAGTTTAACTAAAAGATAAGACTGGAAATTGGATGGGTACCATTTGTTATTTAACTCAATATATTTAATAAACGACAATCACATTATGAATTTAACATCTCTAAAAAATAGAAACTTTAAGTTTTAAAATACTTTAAAAATCACTTTACTATCGTCATTTTTTCCGAAATTACAACTTATTGAATTTTGCATACGTTTTAAAATACAAGAGAAAATGTGTCCGACTAGCCTTTTAGTCATACTACTTAGAAAACGAAAGTTACTTCTGACTCGTCTTCATGCCACGATCTCAATTTGTCGATAAGTACAGTAGCGACTCATAACAGACACTTTAAAACTAACTTTCCTTGCGAGCTATTAGATCCAACTTCAATTATTAATATTTCAAAAATTAAAATTAATTGAACGAGATATTTCGGGTGTATATCAGTTGGACACGGGGCAATTGGACACAGTCCAATCACAAGTCGCTGTTCCAAGGGACCCTACAAATGTCTCTAATCACACGGTGCTGTGATTGGCTGTGTCCAAATACACTGCGTCCAAGTGCACCGCTCCCGATATTTCAGGATACAGGTTAAAGATTTTTTAAATATAGTTTTATCATAATTAATAGCGTGGTGATTATAGTAGACATATCTCTGAAAACTGATGTGTTTATCATCATGCAATTATCACATAAATTAAATATGGTAAAACTAAAATACTTCATAAAAACAATACTTGACGTATGTTCCAGCATTTCACCCAATTAATTTTTAAAATAATAATTATTAAAAATATACTGACGGTTAACAGATTGCCTGGCGTTATTACACGATGTCGGGTGGGTTCTCTGCTAGGCTGCGTTCAGATTCCCCACCCGGGTGTATTCTATTACTAGAAGTGCTATAGTATATGTCACATATACTATAGTGTTTCTAGTAATAGAGTGCACCCGGATGAGGAATCTGAACGCACCCCTAGATAGGTTCGAGCAGAGAGAAACCTGAGAGCGGCCACGCAATACGTTTTGATCGATACTGATTTTCACGCTGTTCGATACGCCATCTGCACCTATTTTTTAAGTGGAACTATGTTCCCTACGTCCATTTTCAGACGCTGTCGGTGAAGTGTCGATTTGTTGCGTATCCATTCTACGCTCATTTTCTGGCGATTCGTGTCCGTGCTAAGCGCATAATTGCGTGATTGAAAACATGGACTGTCCATGCTCTTAACCATGTAATTATGCGCTTAGCACGGATACGAATCGCCAGAAAATGGGCGTAGAACGGACACGCAACAAATCGACACTTTACCGGCAACGTCTGAAAATAGACGTAAGGAATGTAGTTCCACCTCGAAAAGGGTGCAGATGACGCATCGAACAGCGTGAAAATCGGTGTCAGCCAAAACGTATAGTGTGGCCGCTCTCAGGTTTCTCTCTTGTTCAAGTCTCCTTCTTTCCTTCAATATGTGGCTTCAGGTAATTGAATAACTCAACGCCATTACCCAGGTTCGAGTCTCGGCTCGAAATGTGGTTCGAGTCTTAGGTGCGACGACTTTTAGTTCCAAAGTCTCCGCTACGAGTAGCTACTATACTTGTTGATAAAACGAGGATACGATTCAATAATATTGTATAATACTCGTTCATTCCTCATGTGATACGATTCAATAGTAGGTCAGACGTCGCTTCTATTTTGCAAGTAGTATAACTCAATGACTGATCAGATGCACTTTTCCTTTATATCTCACAATAGAAAAAGTTCAACAAGTTATAAATTCGACAAAAATAACGATAGAGAAATGATTCGAAAAGCATTTTAAAGCTTGAAATCTCTACTTTTGAGGTATGTTACACTCACAATGTTAATAATGTTTATCGATTTAAATAAAAAGTAACGACTCAATTCAATACTCAAACTCATCTATCAATTAATGTTTTATATTAAACATAAATTTTTAGCGGAATATAATATATATATTTTAAATAGGATACTTTCAGTTTTTTATTTATTGCTTCATAAATGTTGTACTGCGGTTTATTCGCTTACTGCAAGTGACCAAACACGAAAACATGTTTTTTACTTTAACAACAAATAAATCGGCGGAAATAAATCGCACAACACGCAGCTACGTAAATTAAAGAGGAAGTTTCATACTTCCAGATAGTAGAAATCCTATACGTCTATGATTTTTTATTTGATCAGTATAACTGGACAAACTTCATAAAGTTTTTATATTCAACGAATCTCGATCTATCTTCGTGAAAATAATTATAATCGTGAAAAAATAGTAGACATAATATTTGAAAACTAGAGACTTTAAGCTTTAAAATACTTCTTTGACCGTCTCATTGCGAATATTTTTTTACCAAAGTCCAACTCGTTAAATCTTACCCACTTCATATAATTGAGAAAAATAGGTTTTAAGAATTAAAGAATCACTTTTCTTGATGATGAAAAATTGGCAAAATACAACAGGCTCTACATTTATAAAAAATAATAATGTAAACATGATTCAAGAAGTATTTTGCAGCTCTAGCTTTGAGACATATCTTAATGTGAGAGTATATCATTGCTATCTATTTTGTCAAAGTATATCAAATTAAATGAGAAGAGACGATTATTTAATTTTCTACCTCTTCTCTCAACTCGCTTTTAACGTCGAAACATTACATTATACAAAAAATACGATAAATGTATTTTGAACGGGGAATTTAAATTATTTCTTTCTATTATTTTTTTAACAAATATCGTATATCGATTTTACGAAAGGTCAAAACTGGAAAAACACTTCACTTCAACGTTAAATAATACAATAAAAAAAATCGTGCTAAAATCCGCGAACATATAAAGTGAGGGGCAAAGTTCACACCGTTAAACAATATACATCTTATTCGGATTACACGGTGCAACTTGATAAACTTTATTATATAGTTTGATATTTCACGCGGAGCTTGATGGATACTCCTACAACATCGTAAAGAATAAGTGAACGTTTGAAAATATTTCCGATAATTAAAGACCTCGAGCTTGAAAGTGCTCTCGAAAGCACCTCGTTATCATTATTTTCGCGAACATTGCAGCCCATTAAATTTCACCTATTACTCGCGGCGCCAATCGTCTATCTCATCCGTCTTATGCCTATATTAAACTTCGCGTTAAAAGTCGAAGAATTCGACTTGGCTGTTGCAGCCAATCGGGTCCCAGGTATGCCAACGGCGAGAGCATACGATTGGTGAGATTACGCGCCAGTTCACAACCTTTGGTTCTCGATATGGGATCTGACACGAGCTGTATCAATCCCTCTGGCGGGGCGAGCGGGGAACCGACCATGCGGTGGATATTTCGCTGCGTTTCAGCGGCGAAGGGCGCTCCTACCCGCGCGTCTAGGGCGCAGACGCGCGTCTTATGGATTTTACCCCCGTCGTGGGTGTCGGTGGTGTCGGGTATGGTCCTGGGGTTGGCCTGGTGGGAGCCAGAGGGGCACATGAGGGCGCTCCTCGCACGGGTCGTCCACGAAAGGGAGAAGGAGCGATGCGCGAGCCGGTCGCAGAGGGTAGTTGACGAGGAGGAAGAGGAAGAGGGGATCCAGCACCGAAACGATACAAGCGACGGGTTGGGCCGGCCGTCTGCACAACGTGACCTGGCCGATTACACAGAGATGAGCAAGCCCGTGCGTCCATCCCCCTGTAGACGAGCGGTAGGACTCTGACATGTGACCGGGCCGTAGCGCAACGTCGTGGTCGTGTCTATCCTGTCGGTCGGGCTACGGTTCCTGTAGGACTCAACGCGGCGGTCAACCACGTGGCTCGGATCTGGTGAGTCCTCCTCTCAAAACGAGTCCTTGTATCGACGAGGGTGAATTTCTAATGGTGGTTCCAAAGCCACTGCGCGAGAGTGTCAACGCAAACCGGACGCGATCCTAGGCGCGACTGAAAGCGAATATGCTGCTGCAGACAAAGCCTCCAACAAGTCACCGCGGCTTGTATTTTACGTATACCTGACGAGAGGGGTCCGGCCCTTCCTGGAATGCATCTTAGGTGAACGTTCGCGCCGAAACGTGAAAATACAGAATTTTCTTTCACGGAAATACACAAAGGAGACCTTCGATCAGTGAGAGGATAGTGGAGGCGGCAGAATTTTTATCGTAATCATACACACCTTTAAGTTCTAAACATACACACGAAAATTTTGCGCAATTATTTGGAATGTATGCGCGTGTTGCCGTTTGCGACTTGCAAAATCTGCAACTGCCATTGGTCGTAGTAAACAATGGACTCGCGATAATTTTAACACGCACGTAAAAAATAAGTGCTTTTTTTTAATATGTAATCGAGGACCGACGTTCCGTCAACTTAACGCGATTCATTTAATTTGCATTTAATGTCGACTTTATGAGCAGGATAGATTTCGTGCGAATAAGTCTGGAAATATCGCGGAGTTGAAAATTTAAGCGGGTTTGACTTGTAAAGCGAAATGAGGTCGAGAACAACATTAACTATATTTAATCAAACCAGATCAAATTCTCTTCTTCCAAATTCTCTCCCCGATTTTAAACGTGAAATATGTTTTGATACAATTTTTCCCTGGGCAAATTTTCGCGATTAATGATATTTCCCTACGACTAAAATCCAGTTTTACATCGTTTTCGTGAGACTCCACGATAGACTGCAAGTATCTTCGTCCTTCAATTTAGAAAACAAGTTTTTCCGAATCGACGCGCCCACAGGAGCGGTCGGTTTACTTTGCGAAAGTTCCGTGCGTTACGAGTTCGTCACCTCGCCGGTGTTCTCGTCGCATAGTTAAGGGGATAGTTTCGCTTATTTCGCACTCTGCACTCTGCCGTTGTCGTAAAGTTTCGCGGGGGGAGGGGGAGGTCTTGTCTTTGCGCCGTCTCGTGCTTATACCCTCCGACAGTTTTCTTCATTTCACAACTCGACGCAGCGTCGAGGATCGCGGCTCTCGCGAGACTATAGTCGCGGACTTTCGCGATATCGGCTCGGCATCGAGCTGTATTTCTAGAACTGCGAGACCGGTTAATACTACTCGTCGCATGCTACTGTGCTTTCATCGGTTCACAAGTACATACAAAAAATACTGCATTGAATAAGAATGTTACTTGCTTCAAGTATTTCGTGAGTTTACATATCCGCAGATCTATCATACGGACGGAGAAAACGGCATGATTGGCCCAAAAATATCAATGACAAGATACGCATACTCAATTTTGAACATTCTTATTGTTTTGGTCTTTATATATATAAATACGAGTATAAACTTTCAACACTGAATGTATATACTCGATACTTATAGATATATTTCATGTTAGAAGTTTAAATATTTATATTTAAAGATCAAAACAATAAAACTGTTCAAAATTAAGTGCATGTCCAGGAATTGGTAGCATACAGTAAAACAAAAGTTAAATTTATTTATTTTACATAAAATTTTACGAAATTAAATTCAGTTTTTCTTTGATAAAGTTTTACAGTATTCTTGTAAAGAGAATAAATTTTTCTTCTAAATGCATAATAATGAGCTTTTCTCAAATTTGTCACGGATATATTTAAGAACTATTGAAAATATGCTTTGTTGAAAGTAATCATTGCTTCAAAGAAGAAAGTAAACTGAATAATTGCTTCTCTTAGTAGCAGAACGATATTTTTCTACTAATGAGCCAACTGTAGGTCAAAAATGCAAATCGACGTGGACGTTTTTGCAAAAAGTCGCGGATAAACCGAAATGGGAGAGATCTCATGTAAATTGGGAATAATAAAAAAATAACAAGTGACTTTCAACAGTATTTGACTGAAGTGTAAAAGCGAAACTGCACGTATTGGAAAGAAGTCGCAAACGATCTGATTGCGCAGAACAAATAGTCACTGTTTACATTGTCTCGCAATTTCCAATCCGTGATTATTGAAAGAGCGCGATCTCGCGCATGTGGAATGAAATCAAATATCATATATCAGTTTTAAAAACGCGCGCTTCTGACATTTAAAGAAATAGAAGCATGGAAAATGTACAAGAGGAAAGAGAGACGCGACACTATTAAGGTGACAATTTCAACGCCATTGACGCGATGGTTGTGATGGATGCAAACAGAGTCTGCACAAAATAATATGCACTTGGCGCGTCCCATCGAGGGCTGCATGCGTGCGCCGCTGCCCTCCAAAGCCAGGAAGGCGTATCTTCACCCTTTCATTTCTTCCTTGCCATGGAAACTCCGTGAAGCAAATCATCGACAATAGAACAATTTGCGTATCGCACACGGAAAGAATATTGCAGTAAAAATTACAATATAATTTTAGTACTCCAGGAATATGGCACTATAAAATTATAATAAAACATAGTAAGAGTGACCGTGAACATGATAAAAATTATCACAAATGTAATAAAAGTGATCATGAATCATTTATGGTCACTTTTACTGCGTTTTATTATAATTCTCGTAATAATTCTAGTCTGTTCTCGGACTACTGAAATCGCATTATAATTTTTACTACATTCTCTCCGTGCAGAACAATTAATTCGTCACGGCGCGCATTACTGCGTGGAAGCACTGCAATTTCATAAATGTTCGCTCAACAGGATGTTACTTTGCTCAAGAAACACGAACAATCAGATTCACCGTGTTCCCTTTCGCGCAGAGACGGCATTCTTGACGCGTATTCGAGCGTTAAGTCTTCTTTGATTCTCAAACAAAGACAATTTTATATGGAATGTTCATATTATATGGAATGTATCGTAGAAAACGGGAATTGGAATAAAAAGAACGTAGTATTTAGACGTAGAATTTCGAATATGCGTCAAGAATACGGCCCCAGCAAGCGAGGCAATTTGAACGAGCAGCTCGAGGTACGCCCTTCCTTGGCTGATGAGGGCAGACCGCGACGGGGAACGGCCGGAAAAACATCGATGTTGTGCGCGAAAAGTTCAATGCTTACGATCGCGTGTCGTGGCTTCGAATGTGGCAAATGTGTGTGTGTGTGTGTGTGTGTGTGTGTGTGTGTCTGACTCTGTTACTTCGCTGCACTTGTCGTGAGAATTTCGATGTGGAAAGGCGGTAGGGTCTGGTGATTGCTGCACGCGGCGGAGAGCGCGCAAGGGGTGAATCGGGGTGTTTGTATTTATGTGTGTGTATGTGTGTGTATTAATACATATACGCGTGGGCGTGAAGGTTGATTCATGCTGGTACGACGATGTAGTTCTCTTCGTGACTGCGGCTCGATCTAAAGCCGATAGCGGCTCTAGCCATTTCGGCCACAACGGCCGAATTTATTCCGCGAATTTTCAGCGGACTGCTTGCTACGCGAAAACAGCTATCCTTTCGTCAAGGGAGGACGCGGGAGCACTGAGTCCGCGACACATTATGCAGATGCATGTTCCACGGGTCCCTGTATTTTCCGCGCGAATGTCGCTCTCCTCGTGGAAAAATTTCGCAGGAGATACGCGACAGGACGTTGGCCATCTCTTCGCGTCTCGTCGCCGATCTCTGAGCAGCCCAATGCAAATTTTTCATCGCCCGCGAAGCCGTTCGTCTCGTAGCCGAGCGCGAACAAACGCAGCGTGTGCACTTCGATCTTATTCTGACGTTGTTTCCTTCCCGTGATCCTCCGTTACATAAAACTTCTCAGCGAGAATGTACTCAAACAGTTCGCACGTCGATTATCGGATTTTCTTAGGTTCTCATGCAATATTGCCATTGTGAATCATTGGCCTGAAATAGTCAGTATTAGTAAGTACAGTCGGTAGAACTATGTTGCGAAGAGGTCGGAACATTTTTTCCTCAATAAACCTCAAAATTAACTTTCTGGAAATTGCAATAGGACCTTTAATCATGAAGTCAGAATGGAAACAGTGAAAAGGGAAAATTTTCAATTATTGTACTTTTGAGATTCTAAATACGAAAAGATTGCGCGATTGATTTTAACATGCACGTAAAAGCATCTCAAAGAGCTGATATGAGCTTTAATTCAACATTTTTAAAAATACCGAGACATGCGTGTACGTTTAGATGTTTAATTTTTTGTTTCAATTCTCTCTCTTTGGAACATTATCGACAAAATGTTACGAGCATCGCTATGTAAATATCCACCATAAAATCCCGCGAACATTATTCAATAAATATCTACCAGAAAATTTCACGAAAAACAAGAAATCTTCTTATATCATCATTGACTATGATATTTATGTCACTTTAAAATTGATTCGTTTTTTCCAATTTTGAAAAATTCATCTCTGAAGAAATTAATAACAAATTTTCCTAGTTTGCCCATATTTCGCTGGATGTTTGGTTAATGCAATCAAAAATTTTTTTCGTGTAAAAAATGTATTTTTTTGATATTTGGGAAATATTTTAGATCAGTATAAGTAAATACGTTATTAGTATCTATAGAAGAAATATTTTTTATTGATTTTTGCTCTTTATGTGTGCATGTAGGTTGCGAAAATTATTGAAAAAGAACAGATATCGCAACCTCACTGTAAACTGAAAAAATAATTTTTGTATTTAAAATTAAAATATTTAGTACATATATAGGATTTCATTGGAATCGCATGTTTTTTGTTTGTGTTTTATACATGTTTTTACGGGAAAGCAAAATGCATTTAACGGCAATTAAATTTTTTTATTAAAATTACTAAACATTTAGTCGATTCTATTTTAATCAAATTACGGTTTAAAGTATTAAATTTTTGTTTCGATAAAATAATTTTTTTCAGCGTGCAAATTTGACTGAACGGATACTGAAAAAAATTGTATCTGGAACTAAAATATATTTGGTATATACGATTTGGTTGGCATTGCATTATTTTACATGCGTCAAGTACACGTATTATTAAGAAAGCAAAATATACATAACGACAATAAAATTTTTTGGTTACAATAAATTTTAAACCAAATTTTGGTTCGCTATACCAAACTTTCGTTTCGACAGCAAAATCCTTTTTTCAGTGAACGCTTCGTCAAAATGCATTAAACTAGCGGTCGCGAATTTCACGAGGTTCGTGTCGGATCAGCATTTGGCAACGGATACAACGGTGGAACAATTTGCAAACGCGGATGGCACGCGAGGCTCGCTTAAATCATCAGACAGGACGGTCAAAGGTTAATTCAGTGGGGCGTAAGGGCCGGAAATTGAGGAGCAATTAGACAAGCGTAGTATTCCCAAATTGCGCCGCAATCGGCAAGCGGCTTGGCCGGGAAATATAATTCCCGTTTTCCGAATATCTCGGATATATTCTGCCGCGAAAGCCTCCTACAATTAATTTGCGCGATTGATATGACCTGTAGAGATTTTCGCGGAACGGATCAGCGATCAGCCGGTCGATAATTCGCGTCAATGATTAATAAAGCGCTGTGACCACACAAAGCGGAGGACGATCTGTAACCTTTGTCACGCTGGGAGAGCTGGCCGCATTTCACGTCTGATCCGTGTGGAATTTTTGGAATGTTATATTGATGCGTATTTATTGAATATATCGGGGACAGGGGAAACATCTTTTCCGCGCGCTCGCGTTCATCCGTCGGGGAATTCACGTCTCGTTTCCAATCCGCGATACGGCAAACATCAACAACGAATGACTCACGCGACTTTTTCGATAATTCGCCGGACTCTGTCTCGTTGCGCGACTCGTCAATTCTGATTTAGAATTTGTTTGGCCGCGGCAACTTATTCGATATTTCATTCATATGCGTGCCGTTGCTCGCGTGTCCGCCGTAATTCGGGATTTACCAGTTTGTGCCGTGCATTTCTCTCGCCGCATATGCATCGATAATTCTGTAACCTTGTATGCAAATAAAGTATAAATTCCCGCGATGCTATCTCGCCGCTTGAATCAAGCGTCATTACTTATTTGGGCGATGCAAACAGAGTGCGATTTGTAATTGCTGATTTTAACTCGCGCTGATCACATGGGATCTTACTGATGTTTGTCGCAGCAAGTAATTCAATATTTCCAATATTTCAATCGAATTCTTTACATGACTTCACTCTGCAAATTGTCAGCCGATATCAATGTCATTTTATATAATGTTCAAAGAAAAATACATTCCAAAAAAGCGCTTGTGGATGCGCAGCAAAATTTATACGACTTCGCAACTCGTACCTCGTAAAGTCGTGACATAAAATATTGAAACCCACCTTTTTCCAAGAACTATATCTCTCTCTCCATATCTCTCATTCGATTCCGCGTATCCAAGTGACGTGTTGTGGTATCATTTTGCTGAATAAATCAATTCGTCATATCGATACCAAGCTTAATAAGAATATCGTCCTAGGCTCCTTTTTGTACCTACACAAAAAGCATTAGTATGTTCGAGCGCACGTTCGCAAAATTCAGTTACATCATATACCGCGGATACCGCGCTACAAAGAGGAAATAATAAAATGAACGTGATGAACAGACAGATATCTCCCTTTGCGTCAACGAGGATCGCGGTAATCTTCGAGGTCAACGCTAATCTTATCGTTATACAGATAGCATAAGCATAAGATATTTTAGAAATACCTTTAGTTACGAAAATGTCTATAACCCGTATTAAAAGTCGTTATTTGAAACTTGCTTTAAGTGAGATATTCAAATCAGAATTTAGAATTAAATGAGAGTTCCTTTAGTTGAATCGTGTGATCGCAGATATATATATATATATATATATATATATATATATATATATATATATATATATAT